GCCATATGTGGAGAATATGTTGGGTGGGGGAGAACTTCCCAACCCAACTCCATAATCTTGTGTTGCATCAAATGTGCCACATATGGGCGTACATTGTTGTGGAGAAGAACACCTTTCCGATTGATGAGTGAAGAGCATTTCTGATGAAGGGCTTGATTTAAACGTTCCAGTTGCTGACTATAGATCTCTGCATTAACAGTTATCTGTGGATTGAGGAGTTTGAAATGAATTACTCCTTTAATGTCCCACCAAATGCAAAGCATCACTTTCTGCAGACAGAGTCCAAGCTTTAGGGTCGGAACTGGTTTTTGTCTAGCAGTGAACCATTGTTTTTGGCATTTAATATTCGCATAGAGAATCCATTTTTCATCAACACTGAACATTTCTCTCCAAAAATGGTTCATGCGCATTATGTGCCAGAAGAGACGAAGCAACGTTCACACTCAAACACCTTCTATATGGAGTTTTCCCATATTCCTTAGATGTTTACGTATTGTTTCACGAGAAACATGCAATTTTAAGACCATTTCATGAGTGTGTTGTCTTCAGGTTAGACTCAAAAAGCATCTTCCGAACATCAATATCAATTCCAACATGTCAGCCCCTGCCATCACAGTTTTTAAGGCTAAAGTGACCTGAACGAAATTTGCGGAACCATCGTTGACATTTACTAATGTTCAAAACATTTACATAAATTTTGATATTCTTTGTGGCTACAGAGGTGTTGTTTCCTTTCTTGTATTCAAACAGCATTACATGCCAAATGTATCTTGTTGTGTGCCATCACTATACTGGATTAGAGTATACTTAACTTTACACATTATATAGGCTACACTAACATGATGTTTAGGCAGTTTGTTTAACTATTATACATGATGTATGGTTTTTCAGGAGTGGTTAATGAAAGTGTTCCAAAACGTTACATTAATTTCTTGACGACCTAATACATACTTTCTTCATGTGTTAGAACTCCTGTACTTGGTACTAATTATTCCCTACCACAAGAATAGACAAAAACCTGGTAGGAGATTTTATATTTCACACCCTACATGCTGTTGTTTTGTTTAATGAAAGGTTTTGGTGATGAATCAGAAGTAATTTTTGTTGTTTATTAATGTAAAATCCTGATTCTGTTTACTTTAGAGGTATGTTGTATGTCCTGGGGTGAACTGGAAAAGATGGAGTAAATTTGTTTATTTTTGGGTAGTGTTAGTGATGTATTTGAAATATTTAAGATGAAGCCAAGGGACAGAAAAGATTATTATAATGAAAGTTGGCTTGTCCCTTCACAGGGTGATGGTGGTCAAACAGGTCTACCTGGGGAAACAGGAGAGAAAGGTGATAAGGGTGATCGCGGAAGGCGTGGCAAGAGGGTAGGATGTGGGATCATTCCTCATTTCTGGGTTTTATTTTTATTTGACTTCAAGTTTGTTAATCATTATATGATAAAAAAAATTTTTGTTTGGAACATGTGAAAACATTAAACAAATACTGTTGTAACCATATATTCAGGTAGCTTATTAATGCACTACTTAATGTGTACTTTCTAAAACATTATTGGGGCAATTTTAACTGAATAAATCTTCTCTAAGCTTAATGAATAGCCTTATATTATTATAAATTATTTTGAAAATGAAGGCATATGTTTACCTGTTGGGTTATTTGTTTTACTTACTTATTTTTTTTATGTACATAGTTTAGGGTATGACTTATGTTTTTGTTTTTATAACTACAGCATGCAGCTATTGATTTTTGTACTTCATTCACCATTAATGTATTTTTCTCGTAATACATCTTGTCAAGTGCTGAATAACAGTATTCACTAATGTAAAGAAGTGCCTTCACATCACACAACTTTTTTCATAGTTTTACTAATAATATTGAAAGCTGTTTCCACTAAAATTTCACTACATATAGTGTGTGTGTTTGTGTCTTTCATCTTGTTATATTCTTTGGCTTGTCTGAGGTAAGTAGGACATTATTTTTTGTGTATTCAATTCAAATATAGTATAATAACTAGAGTAAGTGTGTTATATTACTACAAATCTGTTTTATAAATGTACTAAAAATTCTCATTTGTGAAAAATATAATAAAATAATTTTGTTTCTGGACATTCATGGCACAATGTTTGTTTTTATTTCCATTTTAAAAGTTATAGCTCAAACATCTAATTGATGAATTCGTGTATTTAACAATCGGCCTCTTGGGCAGTGACTTGTACGAGACAAGAAATAGACCTGAAATACTATTTTACACACTTCTCATTTAAAATCTGAAATGGACAAATTAAGAGGAATATGGGGGAAATACTCAATTTACATGATTTTTATCATAAATGTTAAATCTGTTTCAATATTTGTTCTAAATTGTAAGCAAATAAGTCCCAGCTGACCATACCCATTTTTCAGAAAATGAAAATTAATTGGGTATAAAATATGACTTACAAAATCATAAAAACTTTTGAATTATTGAACAGAAATTATTATAGTATATATTTTGTTTGGTTAAAAATTTTAGCTATAAAAATTGTGTATCAAGAATATTTCACACTATCAGTTAAATTAGAACAATCATTATATTCCAGTTATGATAAAAGTGATAAAAGAAATTATTCTGTGATGCATCTACACAAGCATGGCATAGTGATTTGTGTATCAGATTGGGGGGGTCCAAGAGTATTGAGTTTCAGACATGGTGCTACCAAATAGTTGCATTTTCAGCTGTGTGTAGAATAAGAGTGACAAATAATCCTTCTATTCAATTAAGAGTTGTAACATCAGTTAGTAGGTGCTCTCACTGATTTCTTTCCTTTAGATTTGTAGTTAAAAATTATGGATGGCTGTACTTGAACCACTCTGACCTGGACTTTTTGGTCCATGTGTGCATAAGATGAACAAACAAACAATGACTGTTTGTTTTTGTGCTTTCACCAGTTTAAGTAATGGTTATTAAATATGAAGTTTAATTATATGTAACTTGCACCTTGAGATTTCATGCAATTATATATGTATTGTAACTTAAAATCTTCTTAGAGATCACGACCATCTTACTGCATATCTTATAAATTCTTACAGTGCACAATATACTTTATAGTAGTGACTTTATAAGCAGTCATACCTAACACTCACTCTAGCCTTCCATAAGTTTGGCCTGTATTGCTTTGCACAAAAAAAAACTTAAGAAGATCTTTATATTGAATATCTTATTTAACATAATGTTTTGGAACAATATGGAACCTGTTGGTCCATCTAGGTTGTCCCATCCTCTAAACTAAACTAAAACTATTAAAGAAAAAATAAAAAATTGCAAAGCCATCCCTTATCATTCTTATACTTGTCAAGCTTTTTCTTAAATTTACTGCCTCCACAACATCTGAAATAACCCATTCCAAAGGCCAACCACCCTGTTAGAAAAATAAAACTGTCTTAGCTGAAGATGACTCCTACCCTGCCAAAATTTATATTTGTGTCCCTTAGTCTTACTATTCTCACCATTAATTATGAAATTCAGATGATGCATCAACACTATCAATCCCTTTAACAATCTTAAACACCTCAATCAGATCCTTTCTAACTCTTCTTTTATCAAGAGAAAACAATTTCAGAGATCTTATCCTCCCTTCGTATGACAACCCCTCCATCCCAGACACCATTCTAGTAGCCTTCCTCTGAACCATTTCCAACAACTCAATGTCCTTCCTAAGGTAAGGAGCCCAAGCTGAACACAATATTCGAAATGTGGTCTAACCAGTGATCTATATACAATGAAATTATAACCTCTTTAGACTTGTATTGAACATTTCTGTAGATACAACCTAAAATACTACTTGCCCTACCACTAGCAACAACACACTGCTTGGATGGCTTAAGAGACTGATCAACCATTACACTAAGATCCCTTTCTTTCATGACACTGTTAAGGTTATTCCCATACAAATTATACTTATAAATCAAATTATGATAACCCACATGCATTATTTTGCACTCATTGTAATTAAAACTCATCTGCCATTTATTTGCTCAACTCACTAAATGACTTAAATCATTTTGTAAATAAGTAGCACTCTCTTCACAATTAGCAACACCCAAGACCTTAATATCATCTGCAAGTTTAAGTAATTTGACCATTCCTACATATATGTCATTGATGTAAATCAAAAAGAGCAAAGGTTTTAAGACTGAGCCCTGAAGTACCCCACTTGTAACATTAATCCAGTTTGACTGAACTCCATATATAATAACCTCTGCTTTCTTCCATCCAGCCACTCTTCTAACCAATTTGTAATTTATCCCCCACACCTAAAGAGACTATGTTGCACCATGTCAAATGCTTTCTGAAAATCCAGATACACCAAATCTACACCCTTACCCTCATCTAAATAAGCAGTAACCTTTTCAAAGAATGTCAAAAGATTTGTAAGGCAAGATTTTCCTTTAATGAAACCAAGTTGACTATCTAAACTTTGTTAAATGACTTTGCAAAGCATCTTTTATCAGACTTTCCAAAACTTTTCCCACAACTAATGTAAGACTAATGGGCCTATAATAATTGGGACAATTTTTATTACCTAAAAGAGGAGTGACATTAGCTAACTTCCAATCCTCTGGTACTTGCCAAGTAAACATTAAGCTATTAAAAATAAGATGCTTTAAACAGAAACTAATTACATTATCTTTCCTTACATGATTACAAATTGACTATAAAAAACATAGTTACTGTATTGCTGTTTCACTGAAAAAAGGCAGAGTGTCACACATATGAACAAAACAAAATTTAAGTTTTCTATACTGTAAATATTTTATTACTATTTAATATCATAAGACAAGGAATTTGAAACTGTTCCTTATATATATATTACTAATAACATTCTGGACTTTATAAAAAAGATGAGTTCAGTTGGAAATTTGTGGTTTGATATGTTAGATTATGTCAATTTTCAAAGGTGGCAAACCATCCTTGAAGTCAAAAATATTCTGAAAAAGTGAAAATTGATATACTTTAAATATATTTTATCACTTAGTTTTATACTGTCTTCTACATTTATATATCTACTGACATATATATATATATATATTGTGTGGATTTATTTGTATACAAAAATTCATTTTATGACATGTAACACTGTGTGATTCTGTGTCTTGCATTATTGAAGATGCATTTCACTGTTAGTAAATTATATTGGATGGTCACATATTTTTCTGCATCTTGTGTTATTGTACTGCTTGCACGATATGTGTACTAATTTCTTTTTTATTATTATTATTATCATTAACAGTTGTATTGTGTAGGCTTGTGTGTACGTGTTTTGTACTAACAGGTCGAGTTATTCACAGTTATTTGTAGCTGTGTTTAGTAGTGAAGTCATTACAACACTGTTACTGTCTTTTACCCCTTTCCTTGTTGTTGTCCAGTTCACTAACTAAGATGTATTCTTCAATAATCCTGGAGGTTTCATCACTAACAAGTAAGAACATATTTTAGTATTTGTGTTTTGAAGATTGCATGTTAGTCAACTATTTGTATAGATATATTTTGTTCAGTTGTATTGGAGCTAATGATGTGTTAACACAATTGTTTCAGAGAACCATGAAATTAAGCAATAAATTATTTTAGGGCCACTTTGTTCTGAGATTGGAATAATACATATATACCTTTTCATCTGATATTTCTACACATTAAAATGTTCAAAAATATCAAATTCAAATGCTAGTCACAGTAACTTCTTCAACTGACGATTATATTATGTTAAGTTTTCTTAATAAAATTAAAAACAGGAATTTTGCATGTAACATTTTGTATCAAATTACTAAAAATTTCATTTTCAATATTTTTCAAAATATTTCTCATAGTTTTTTGTTTCTGATATCCAATTTCAACTAAAGATATTGAAAGAAAAATGACTTCTTCTGTAGCATACTGAATTATAATTACTGTGAAAATAGGAACTTTTATGTCTTTTTTCTGCATCACATTACTGGGTGGTTAAAAAATAACTTGATTCTTTTTAAAAGCATTCATGTTTTTAATCTGTTTCCAGAAAAGTCAGAAAATGAATAGAAACAAATTTTACTTGCAAATGATTTATTGTACATAAGATTGAAAAAAAAAATGTTCATAAACCTATGATAGCATGTTGTATTGTGAATCATATTACAAACACCAGTTGCCATTGTAGATTTATTTTGTCATTATAAAATTCATACTTGTTCTAGAAATATTATACATATATATATATAAAATAACCATAAAACTGGAACAATTGTATGTGTGTAATATAGATTACCACCACAAAACAGTGAAGAGAACATACAAATCCACTGCTGGATTTTTCTAGTATAATGTTTTAATTTTATTTTTATGTCTTTTCAAAGCATGAATTTGTTACTTCTGTGTGTATGTATATATTCTCTCTTCTTTTATCTTTTATTATGTAGGGAAAACGTGGAAGGCATGGGAAGTTTGCAGGAAGAGGAAAACCTGGCCGCCCTGGCCCCAAAGGGGATATTGGACCTTTAGGAGAGAGAGGAGCTAAAGGTGACAAGGGAGACATTGGTCTTCCTGGTATTCAGGTGAGGAGTCACAATACATCTTTATCTTTATAGGTCGATGGCAAAGATATGGTTTTCAGCTAATGTTTGTACATTACTTGCTCAACATATTACTTTCATAAAAATTCTTATATTGAAATAGTATCTTGTATACTGAGAGAGATAAGTTAAGAAATTGCTCTACTAATTGAAAGAAAATATATCATAGAATACTTACTTATGGAAGTTTTAAATCATGAAGAAGTTTATAAATCTTTTGATCTCGAAGAAGAAATGCACCATAAGAAAAAGAAGTAACTGCACTTTTACTTCCTTATAAAAGTCAGTGCTAAGCATTTGATACCAATAACTTGCTTCTAAGAATGTTGTATACTTAAATCTGTTAGAATTGTATTAATTGAAGTTCTGTTATAGAAATAAGGATCTCTCTCTTTTTGTTCCATATTTAACTAGAATTCATAATGTAACTCTATTTACTAGATTAAAAAATATTTTGCAAAGCAAAACTTTTACTAAATGATAAAAGAAATGATGAAACTAATGGTTTTTCATAGCAAAGCTAGAATATGCTTGAATGCAATTTGATAAGGTATGCATAAACAGGATAATTTTTTGTTGCTGCTTTCCTTTGTAAATTAATTTCCTTTAGAAAAAAAACTTTTCAAATTGGGCATATAAGTGCTTGATTTCAGCTAGTAGCCAAACTGAATGGAATTTCTTAACAATAACAGATTTTGCTTTTGTAATAATATATAAAATTTACTTTTTGTTAAATAACAACTCCTAGTAGCTAGTTTCATTTGTAAGATAAAATTGAAAATAAAATTTGTACTGATAGATAATCATGTCCTTTAAATTTAGTCAGCTATCCATGTTATTTCTGAAATATGTTATGACTGAATAGGATTAGAAATAGAATATTTGTGTACATATTTCTCTCCACAACTGAAAACTAATACAAATTTAGTGTCTATCATAAAAAAGAAATTGAAATCCAACAGACAATTTAAATGTTTTTCTCCCAGTTGCCATAACTGTATTAGCAACACAAAGAAGTGTGTAAACTATCAAATCTTCATTAATTTTTTTTTTATTTAGTTGATGTTACTCAATTTATTTTATTTTATTTAACATAATTGAGCAAGAGGTGAAGAGCCATTTTAATATGAATTGAATTAATTTTTCAGTGTGAGAATATTTGACATAAGTAAAATATCTGGTGTCAACAAAGATCATTAGCAAAAAGTATTGGTGATGTAACACCAACTGAACAGACTTATAATTTTGATGTCATGGAAGTGCTTACTAGCTAAGATGGGGGCATGTAATAGTAACTCAATTGATTTGCAAATCTCATGTTAGCAAAGTACTTATTAATAATGGTTGGAGAAGGCTTTCTTCATTACCCATTCAAGCCGTCTCCAACCATTATTAGTCTCAAAATGGGTTCCTCGTCATCGAAAGTACTTATTCACCAAAAGAAGTGTATGGTAACAATAACTGTAACAGTAATGACAAATTGTAACTAACTCTGAAGAGAACTAGTGATAGCATTCAAAGTACAATTTTATTTTTAATGAAATATCCTAAATCTATGATTGTATTGTATTTTGGCCAATAGTTCATACCTTGGGCAATAAAAAAATACAATTTTAATAACACAAGGTATGTATGTAACTTATTTTTGGCAATATGCTTTAGACCCGTGATGCACAAACTGTGAGGGCACACAGAGTCGGGGTGGTGGTGGTATAGTTATAACTGTAGTATAATTATATCTGAAAGTATAAATTTAAAAATAAAGAAGTTTTAAAACTACCATACAAATATTACTACTATAGTAGTAACAGCAATATAGTAACAGCAACTAAGATGGATAAATAATGGTATGTGGGGATAAAAAAAATGCACTACTAGAAAGGGGAGTGCTATAAAAAAGTTTATGCACCACTGCTTTAGACCATTTAATTGCAAAGTGACTGTAAAATGGGTGTGATACATTAGAAGAGAAGATTATGTAATAGTTCATTGAATTACAAAAATTTATTGAGAGTTAATTATTTACTCTTTTTTTTTTACTGATGTTTGAAGATTTTAGGTTGAAGAAATTTGATGATTTGAGCATTATCTATAAATATTCATTTTGATTAACTCAAAACTCTTAACATGTTAGGGTGAATTTGGACCAGCAGGATTACCAGGTGGGGACGGAAAAGATGGGGAACCAGGACCACAAGGGCCTCCAGGACTACCTGTAAGTATTTCAAAAATATTTTATAGAAATTTCATATAACTTGTTTTCATCAAAACCAATCATACCATTGAATTGCTAACTTTATTGTTTATTTGTTTTAAGTTCAAAAGATTAATTTATGTCCATTGGTTTACAAGTCACTGAATTTTAATAAAATATAGATTGTAAATATAGGAACTTTTCAGTCATTTATGTTTCATATGTTTGGACATTTATCTAACAATACATTTATCCTACAAGGTGAAAATTAATGATTTGATGAACTTTATAATGTACTACATTATGCTAAAACGTTTTCTTTTACTTATCTTAACTATTTTGGGGGTTCTTGAACCAAATAAAATGTCATAAAATTCATTCTATAGTCAAATCATTTAACACTGGCATTTAAAAAAAAAGTCATAAATGGATTCTGAGATATATAAGCAAAATGGCATAATTCAAAATTTTAGGGGAATTCCATTACTTTAATAACAAACTATGAGAAATTGTAATTTGCATTACTCAGGCTACAGTAGCTGAGTTGGCTAGGCTCTGTTTTTTGTGTTTTTTATCTTTCAAAGGGACAACCAGGACCTAATGGTGAGAAAGGTGACAAAGGAGTAATGGGACCTCCTGGTTTGATGGGGCCACCTGGATTACCAGGCCCACCTGTAAGTGCTCCCATTTTTTTAGAAACGTGTTGTGCCTATTTTAGCTTATTATCCAGCAGTGACAAAAGAATACAGTCATTACTTTCTTATAAAATAAAACAGAAAAGAAGATAGCAAGAATATAACTCTTGTTAACCACATCAGCATAAATACTATGGTTTACTCAGAATAATATTATAACAGAATTCAGCCACATTGACTTCTCTGATAATGAAATGAACTATTTTAAGTGTATAATAAATGTAATCAATATAATCAATTTATTACCCTTGATTCTGGTGATAAGGCTTTAAAGCTTTTCTTTTTTTTTATAGATATTACATGTTCAGTTACTTTAAAGTATGACATTTTCAAAAAATGTGCTTAAGTGGTCTCAGGAAAAGTTGAAAGACTTAATCAGTCATTTAAAGCTTTAATTTATTTATTTTAATTAAGCTAATTGTCTTATACATTTTGGGTAGTCTCAACAGTAAGAATTTACTTTTTTGAATTATGGAATAACCGTAAAACTATTTAAACTTTCATCGCAAAAGTGGAGAAGTTCATGAAGGTGTAGATTCTTTTAAAGCTAAACTTACTTGAAATATTTACAAAGTCATTTTGTTTTCACAAGTTAAATAAATTCAACTGTGCAATTATAAATGCAACAGAACTTTGAAGATCAAATTGTAACTTTCAGTAAAACTAAATGGTTAAAATGAAACCAAAACTATCAAGTTTTAAAAAGTTTTGTGTCATTTACTTGAATACTTAATTCAGAGAGTTAAACCCTGTACATCACAATGAATAATATGTTGACTGAATCACACATACTGTAGAATCTTTTAATACAAACCTCAAAGTATGAAAGTTCAAAATATTTAAAAAATTAAATCAAAACTATGTTAAAAGTATTCTATATATCTTACTTGAGTTCTATATTCAATCTTGAAACTTTCAACTGAATAATTAAGCTCATATAATATTCTTAAAAAGTGCATGTTTCTGATAAGGTACTTACCTCCTTTCACAAGATTAATTATTATCGTTCAGTGCTGCCCTCTATATGCGAACTTTTTCTTTAAGCATGCCACAAACCTTCTGTTTCCCCCTATTGGATTACAAGATTCCAACATGTCTCTCATGTAAATCATCATACATCACCTCCTCACAAACAGGAGCATGATATGCTTAAATCATGCATGTGACTCCCTCTACACTCCTCTACCAAACTATCACTTCTCGTTTAGCAGTGCTTGTGTTTAGACGTGCTTTTTGTTTGTTTAAAGATACACGTTCTGCTTAAGTTTTCTCACAATACTGGAGTAGGCCAGCCATACTCAGCATCTCCCTTTCAGGGATCTTTAATATCAGTGGGATTCTCCTCACGTGGATGCCTTTGCTATGGGCCTCAACAACAAGTTACCTCTCTTTTGCTCTCCTGTATCTCATCCCCAGGCTCTGGTAGTCGATGCTTTCAGCCAGGATTGGTCACACAAGTATCTTTATGTGTAACCACCCATCCAATTACTTCATCAGCTGATTTCTCTAATCCACTCCACTCCTTGTCAGGTCCTCCTGATTGCTCCTTATTGGCAGCTCAGCCTTGTTTTCCATGGTTACAGTGACTGCTCCTCTCCCCTTCTGCCCCTCTTCCCCTTTCTTCCTATCTTCTTCATCAACCCCAGTCATATGTCCTATATCCCACCCTTCACGTCCTGCATCTTCATGCCTGGCTTTTGTCTGGTTTTGGGGGAGAAGATCCTGTTTCACATGTCAAGTTAGCTGGTTCCATCCATCTTTCATGGAAGTGTACCAATACAAATGGAAGGTATTCCATCATTGGTTTACAAATAGGAGGTTTCCCACTGACCGGCCTACTGTGGCTCATGTGGCAAAATTTCTCACCTGGCTCTTTGACCGTGGGTTTCTGATCTCCTTGCTTTCAGGATATTGGGCTGTTTTATCCCATATCTTTTGTTTTTCTCGATAACATAGATTTTTTTACTTCCCCTGTCCTTACTATGCTGGTGCGTTCTTTCCAGATATGTCACCCTCCCAGATGGGTATGTTAATGTGGTCCTCCATTTGAACCACTTTCCTCGTGTTTCATGTTTCATCTTTCCCTTAAAACATATTTCCTTTTTCTCTTAGCCTGTTGATGTCGATGGTCTGATTTGTTTGCCATTGATGTTTCACAAACCCTTTATTACCCTACCTATCTTGTCCTTTATCCAGATCATTCCTTTCTCTCAAAGACCTCGGCAGTTATGGAGGGAAATTCCTCCTTTTATCCTATTTCCCTTCTTTACCCTCGATCGGATCTGGATAGGCTTCTGTGCCCCGTCAGCATTCTTTGTTGTTATATTGCCCATAATGCTTTTTTCTGGGGTACACATTCCCGACTCTTTATCCCCTGGCAATCCTCCTCTCTCTGTGATATTTCACCTTCTACTCATACCAATTGGGTCCATCTTTTGGTTTGATTGCCTATTTCTCCCTACCTTCTTCCTCCCATAATTTGTTCCAGGTGTTCACCCATCAGATCCAACACCTCATTTTTTCCCTAGCTTCTCATCTTTGTCATCCAATTGAGGAGTTTCTGCAGTCCAGAATGTGGACCACACCCAGTACATTCATCTCCCACTATCTCCATCATGTCACTGTTTCCTCTTCATTGGGGTTTTGGTCTACCGCCTGTGGCTGTTCTTCAGACTTTGGTGCAACTCTGATTGGTAAGTTTTTATTCATTCTTTCTTTTCAGGGGTCTTTATTTCTTTATCCATGGATCCCACTCGGTGGCAAGTGGTGCCTAACCAGGTATTCTTTAACCTGAAATCCTCACTGTCAAGCCATGTTGACTTGCACTTTGTCTTCCATGGCTTTGCAAGCTCACCATTGAGAGGGAGTGTTCCACAAGATCACTTGTAGGTGCATGACCTCGTGACATTTTGCTTCATAAACATGCCCATCCCAGACAGTACCACCCATGGACTGCATGGATAAAGCATGCTTGGAATGAATAACTCAGTATGATCTGCTTTTCAAAATAAGGTTTCCTGGGCACCCATCACACTGTCTCAGGGGATGATGTTCCTCTAGACTTTCCACTGTGTTGTCACCCTCCTTTCTTCAAGTAGAGTATAAGAGTCCTTACCACTTTCCAGTTACAAGCTACTGGGGTGCTTACCCATGGAGACACTCTGCTGAATGAGTTCCACACAATAACCATTCAGTTACAGAGTAGGACAGTGGTGTTCTATGGGTGTAGATGACGTGATATCCTTCTATTTGCAATAATCAATGACAAAGGAGTAAGACATTAGAATGCAGTTCACCCCTTCAGTTGGGAGCCCTCATCCTACCCTCGCGTGGATGTCAGTACTCTGTGGGCAGGTTTTGGATTCAGAGTGAACCAATCAACATAAGTTCTCACACAGGTTTCAGGTTGTCTATCTTCCTCCCTCTGTGGGAGGTTTTCCTCTGTCTGTGTTGTCGGTTACAGTGGTGATACATGGGATTGTTTCAGTTCTGTCCTTAGCTATCCCTCATCCTCTCTTCTTATGTGGATGTTATTGCCATTTGGATGGTCCCGGCCTGTTTCCCAGTTGGGGAGTTGATACCAGATGTCAAGTTCCTGGATCGATAGCTCAGAGTTAATCCTCATTTCATACCCGAGAATCGGAGTGGTTCTCAATCTCCTGATTCTTGGGTTTGAGGTGAAGACAGTATGATCCTCATCCTATCCTTGCGCGGATGTTGGTACCATGTAGGCAGGTTTTGGATGTAGTTGACTTACCGAGTACGGTCTGCCTCACCCTAGCCACTTAGGGGTGCATTCTTTGTTTACCCACCATTCTCATTGTGGGATTGAGTTACAGTATATTTCTATAGTTAGGATCACTTTCCTGCCACATTCTTTCTCTCACTCGGATGTGCTCCTCTCATTTTCCTCCCTTATATCTTACAAATTCCACAGTTGGGCAGAGAGTATACCTGGCTCAGATGTGGTGTGGTTCCTCTCTTCTGATTTTCAGATCTGAATCTCTCATTTCCATGGGTATCCTTCAGTCACTTTCAGGGGGTACATCTGTTGTTCCCATACACCTGTCCCTCCTCCTTAATATGGGATTCTAGCTAATCTTGGGAGAGGAGGTATGTACTGTATTGGAAATTATAATTTTCCTATACTGAAAATGTATTTCTGATAGGTACTTTCCCCCTATCACACAACCCACCCTTCCTCCCTACATTTCTGTGGTGCTGACATCTACCAAACTTCAAAGTGTGTTCCTACTGGTGAGGAGATGACACATGATGATTTACGTGAGAGACATGTTGGAATCTTGTAATTCCAATAGGCGGAAGACTTGTGGCATGCTTGAAGAAAAGTTCGCAAAGAGAGGGCAGCACTGAATGAGAATAATTAATCATGTGAGAGGGGGTAAGTACCTTTTGTAAATACATTTTCAGTATAGGAAAATTATAACTTTGGATTGTAAAGTTTTAGTGATAACTTTAACTGTGTGTTTTAGATGCTTCAAACAGATTTAGATGCTTTGAATGCTTGAATTTAATAGTCTTGTATGCCCATTCTGGATGTATAACTTTTTACATGTAACATCTACAGATGTTTTTAGTATAAACGTTTCTGGTTGATTAGAACACAGATAGATTTAATACAAATAATGGGACTATATATTGTCTGTTATAATAGTTCATAAATGTTTATTTTCTAGAATGGTATACATAAATTATTGTAGTTGCTATAAGGCACTTAAGTGCTCTTTGTAGATATTTGGTGGAAACAATTTCTTAAAAAAATCATAACACACTTTATTTGGTTTTGCATGTGACATTTCATTTGAGTTCATATTTTTGTTGGTTTTAAGGTCATTATTTTACTTCAATAGTTCAAACCAGTCGTCCCCAGGATGATTATGTTTTTGAAGTTTGTGATTAAAGTAAACAGAAGCCTGTTACTTTTTCTGTATTACTTGTTTTTTAATCAGACAGCAATTTTTGAAAATTGAATGGCTATAATGCTCATTTAATGATTTCGGATTTATTTATTTAATTTGCTCTGTTTTGCCTTTTTAGTTTCCTCAGGAGACAAAGGCTGTATTATAGCAAAGCTTAATCTACAATTGATTGTCTAAGACTTCATTAAAACAACTTTGACATTAATATATGTATGCTGGTGTACATTAAACAATATAGGTTACATATCTTATATGTATATATTTATCTATGTATAATATGTTTTCTTTTAGACTTCTACATAGGCTTTTTTACTATACAATAGTTATAAGCTTATTGATGCTTGCAAAACCCAGCTACGATCTTGTTTCAATTCCCGAACATAGTTTCTCTAAAATAAATTGTTCTGTGTATTTTCAACCTAAAAATAGATTTATTGTGTTTTTGTTAAAAAATACTCCATATTTATTCATTATGAAATAGAATATTAATAGTATCTGTTCATTATTATTCCAAGTGAAATGAAAATATCATTATCATAAACAATATAGAAGATAGTTATTGATATATACATACACTCACATTTTGGTTTTATTTGAGTTTGTTTATTTGGTTTTAATGCTAAATATTTGAAAGCTATAGGGAATTTTCTAAATCTTGCTAGGGGCTTGTGACCTCCCTTAACATAGTATGAAGCTACTTTTTATGAGTGTTTTTTGTTTTTTATTTGTCTCTAAACTTGTGTGCATTGTGCAAACTATTACAGTTCTTTATTACCACATTGTTGCTTTAATAAAACTGTAGATATATTTGTAGATTTTTTTGAAATCTAAATTTTCTGTCTTGTTTTTGTTCTTTTCTTATAAATTGGTTCTATGTAGACATTGTGTTTTAAAAGATACAGTATAAAAAACAGACTTGTGTATGGAGCTTGACCATAAAAACCTGTAGCATGCCAAAAGACAGAATAGCAACCAACCTCCGTGTGTGTCTCTTCTTTTAATAGTGTTATGTTAGGTTATTAATTTGTTGGGTCAGTTACCACCATGTATGTCTAAAGTAATATGCAGTTAAAAGCTTTAGTATCATCTTATCAATTTAATCATTAAATCCACAGAAAATCACTTAGTTAGATTTTTTTAGCATACTATCACAGATTTAGAAACTTTTAATTTTTAAACTCAATAAAAACATATCTGATAGTAGTAAGTTACCTCTTCTAAGATAATAATTTTTAATTGTTCTTTTCAGTGTGTGTGCTGATCTCTAAGTTGGCTTTATTCTTCATATGCTCTTGTGTTAATGCATTGACAGTATAGGTGTAATTTTGGTCCCAAATGTTTTTTTTATATAAAATTGAGTAAAATATTTGGAAAAGTACTACTCTTCACTGGGTTAACCTAACTGTATCAGGTGTAATTTGTTTCAGGAGAGGCTAAACCCTTTTTTAAAAAAATACAAAATAAAGCTATAAGAATTCTATAAAATAAACATCATTGAACTCAGCCTATCTGTTATTTTCTGTTTTGATAATTTGTAACATATAATACATATTTTTATTTCATGTAAGTTCAGAAAAAAGTGTTTGTAATGAATAAAACACATAACTTTCTATTAACTTTTTTAAATAAAACCATGTAAGTTCAGGAAGCATAATTTATCATTTACTGTGTGTGTTCCTTATTCAAAATTGATAACTTACCATAATTTCAAAGATAAACATTTAATGAAATATCTGTTAATATGACCACTGACAGTTTATAGAAAAAAAATTATTTTGCAAGCTATCTAAGACAAAATCATTTTTAAAGCATTCTTCTTTTTTTACTAATAAAATAGACCATGTTTTTTAATTTGTGCTGTCATTTGTAAAGACTACCAATTGCACAATAGCCTTTTTAAATTAGGAATTTTATGTGTTATGATTTTTAAAACAAGTCAATAGTAAAATAGTATTGTTTCATAGATTATTTTGTACTGCATGTACTTGTCACATAGAGGGCTCTTCCTCTCTTGCTTTGTCATATTATTCTCTGATTTTGTGCACGTTGTATATATTCTGTCTATAGGAAATGTGGGTGCATTATGAAAGTTAAGGGCATATTACACTATTAGATTATAATAGTCTAAGTGTTGGCAGTGAAAGCTGTTGACTAACTATTTTCTCTCATATCGATCATTTCAGAATTATAGGGATGAATTGTGCAGATAAACCTTGTGTAGCTTTGCATGAACATCCAAAACAAAGACAGCTTCATGTCTATAATAACTGAGTATAAATTACAAACAAGCTGTTAAATTCCTTTACTAAACAGTGGAAAAGATAATTTTTGAACAGCTTTACTATTCTAAATAAAAAAAAATAAGTATAATTTCTAACTCTATTGCATGTTTTGCAGTTTTAAATAGGGTGCTACATCTGATTGTATGTATTGCACATCTTTGCTCATCAAAATGAGGCTGATTTTATACAAATTTCCAATGTCTCTTGAAGAATCACTCTTTTTAAATATATTTAATGTGTTTTCAGCTGTTTTATAGCACTGTGACATGGAACCTGCTCTGGTTTGCAGTTACTAATAACAGAAAAAATATTTTATACTTTGCTATTATGCTTCTCTGCTTGAACCAATTATAAATTAAATATTTTGTTTCTACGCTATGTTTTTGTTATGAGGAGGTCCCAAGCACCCAATTATGAATTTACTATTTTCTATTTCAAATTAAATTTTTACTGACTAGGCTTGTGATTCGTAGTCTATCTCTGCCTCTCTTCTGTACACAAACTGTTTTCTCTTTCTAAGCAAAAACTTGTGTAACTTGTATGTTTTGTTTTCCTTTTTTTCACACTGCATGCTGATAGGGCAAACCAGGCAGGGATGGAAGCAAAGGTGAAAAAGGTGCTATGGTAGGTATTGGCACAACGGTTGCCACTTTTAGCATGCGTATGTGTATACTTACTACTTGTGCTTGCCTGATTTGAGAAAGCTTTACGTATAGACCAAGTATATCTTTATATAAGCTCATAGTTCAGTTTACTATTGATCCAAGATGGAGAATAAGCATCAAATATACACTGAATAAGAAGTGTGGTTATATTACTTATGACAAAAATTCATTAATGATTGGTTGGTTGGTTGTGACGCAATGAAAATTTAGTTTTCTATTCATGTTTACTTTGTATTCTATTGTTTTAACTTGTTGACACTATCATTTTGGGCTGTTACATTCTTTTTTTGTAATGAGGTGTGAGCATGTGATGAAGTTATTTATATAAGTAAAGAAAACTTGAAAATATTGTTGTTATTTTTTATCTTAAAAACTTCAATTATTTCTTAGCACTGCTTTATTAGTTAGATAACTGAACAGTGATGAAAAAGATCTTCATATGAAAGTATGCAAGAACCTGTAAATTTAATTGGTAACATTTTCTCAAACATTCAGTTCTAGAATATTGTTATGTATCTGCTTGTTTGATTATATCCGGTAGAAATTTTTTCCGAAGAACTTCAAAGATACAAGTCCTTTCTTGATTAAACCAGTTTATTCTTTCTCAATACAACTTTTTGTAATACACAGAACTTCCACAGTCACTTTAAACTTAACAACCTTTATAACACATGCTATAAATCACAGTGATTCACACACTTTACTTACGGTGCCTACTGTTCGCATGACTCAATTATCTATCTCTTCAATCCTGCTGGTTTTTCTCGCCAGGCTTATATACTAAAAAGAGGGTGTCTCAAATGCACTCGGGCCTTCATGATCCTTTGAGAAACTTCAGCGTGCATGCTCCCAGTGTCGCGTGACTTCCACTGTCGTAACAATGCCCCTTC